TCTAAGTGATTACGAAGAGTTCAGACGGGCTGTCTGTCCTGTTGCTGCAGTCCCTGATGAAGCATCCCCCTCCAGCATCCGAGTAGGCCCCCTTCAGATACCGGAAGGCTGCTACAAGGTCTCTCTAAAGCCTTCTTTTTTTCCAGGCTGAACAGCCCCAATTATCTTAGCCTGTCTTTATCCCCACGCCCACTGCTCATACAGAAACATGGATGACAAAAATAGATGAAAATAGAAAAGCATGGGAACTGAAGTTCTTCCAAGGTCTGGAGAAATCACTCCTATCTAACAAGTGCCTATTTTTTTGTATTTAAGAAATCCCACTGCACACACAGTACAATTTCAGTTTCAATTCTAACAGAATTAATCTTCCTAGAAGCAGCGAGTATCCATTAGCTTCATTAAGTCATCATAGGTTTAGAATTGTCAGACACACAACACATTAGAAATTCTTTACATTATTAAGCAATTATTTGTTTAGATGTAATGGTAATGGTGAAAGACTGCAGGGCTCAATTACATAAATCCGTGGAAACATATTTCAATTAATAGGCTAGTTATTTGGTTAAAACTGAACACAGCCACATGGTTTTAACTTTCTTCTTCTAGACAGTATGTTACTTGCTATTAATGATTCTTCTCAAAAGAATAGTCTCAAGGTCTAAAAAAGTATTTCTCAAGAATTATAATATTTAGACACTCAACTAAACAAAAAATCCTTTGCAACACAGGAGGTCAAATCTTATTAACCTAAAGCCAGATGCATATTTAACTCATTAGCTTGTATCAATAGGAAATTTTCTCTTCTCCCATCTCATAGCTACAGCTGCTTTGCAATGACTCTAAAAGACCAGAAAGGAAGCAGATAACTCACACAGCTTTTATCACATTAGCCACAGTCTGCAGTCTACATAATCATTCACTTTGAAGCATACTAAACAAAGCAGAACATGACCTTACAGTTGGTATTTTAATCATACCACATAAGACCAATTCTCTATCATGCATACATTAAGGCCAGCAAACGAGATGCTATTCAGCACTACTCAAAACACCAAAAAGCAGAACAGAACAGTACTGTTGCATACCCAAATGAGGTCAGGCAGTGACTATGCTACAAGGAGGGTTTGTGCTTCCAAATGCAGTGTTACCAGACAACTTCCAGTGAGAATCTGATTCTGGATAGGCTGAAGCATCAGCAGAAACTGAGTGTGTGCATGTGTACAAGATTAACAGAAAAAAAAAAAGAAATTTAAGCTTTTGGTTTTAAAATGATAATGTTGTGTAGCTTTATCAATTAGCAAACACACAGATTATCTTATATACATTTATATTTAGTGCGATATGCAATTATGTTTTTAGAAATAGTATTTAGGGGACAGAAAGTGAAGAGAGACGATGTATTATTCTACAGTGAATCAGGAAACTTAAGGTATTTCATGTAGAAACTCATCCTACTTGAATTCTCACAGTATGGCGGTGTTAAGAGATCTTCTCCAACACAGATCCCCTTACTAATGACTGTATTAAGGTATTTACACTATATATAAAAAAATATTCCTACCGTTACTGATGCAAGTTACTTACATCCCTGTCATTTTGTACTGCTTTAAATACCAAGTGAAGTGGGAAATTAACTCCAAAACTTTACAGTTATTGTTGAATTGTGGGATTATCTTTTTTTGTCATGAAATGGCCAGCGTCATTATATCCAGCACAATTTTATGAAGACATTTAAAGAAAAAGGTGTTCTGTCAAGTCAATGATTCACAATTCAGCAAGTATTTCCTTCTCTCCTGCAGGAATACATTACATTATATCTTCCCCTCACCAAGTTCCAATACCTTTTGTCATCCAGTTCACAAGACAGCCAGTACTCAGAAGACATGAATTAAACTCAAGAATTTAAAAGATGTTTCCAAATTTAACTTTTCTCCAATGGTCTTTAATTTATCTGAATAAAAATACAGAGTTCTCACTATTCACAATTGACTATATAGATGTCTCTCCCTACCATCTGTCCATTATACTGATGTGCAACCAGATATACCGATATGCAAGTATATAAAAAGAAAACTAGACTTTTTAAAGCCATGTTTACACACCAATTTTTAACATTATTTTTGAACACAAAACATTAATTGAGGACAGCCTAAAGACTCTGTATAAGACAGATATACCCTATATTAATTTGTATTCAGCTTGTGTTTTACAAAGACAGAATAAGGTACTGCCTACAGAGAACATGGATTGTCAAAAATAATTTTAAAAGTTATTCAGCCATGACAAAAAATGTGTCTTCATGGATGATGAGCAACCAAAAAACAAATCTGAAATTTCAAGGGGGAAAAAGGAAAAAAACTAGTTATGTTAGTTGAAAAGGTCTTTAGTGAGTTAAAAGTAGCTAGATCTTGATATGAAGAATCCTACCAGCACTAACCCCTGTCCACTAGTATATTCTGAAACAGGTAAGATTAGAAGACAAACTGTGCATAAACATGACATTTACATCTACAGAATAAATTTCAAGAGCTGCTACAATAATGTAGTGCTCCTAGAACTCTGCTAGACTACATATGTATGCATACACATTCTTCCATATGACAGAAGAGATGAGAAGAGGTAACGAGACGCAAGTCTTACGAACACAAAACCCCACCAGCATGCTCCCAGAGGAAACATCACTTAGCAGCTCAGAAGTGCATTAATCTCAGTCCATTTTTTAATCAACTGGAGGCAGCAGCACTGTAGCTAAGGCATGCAGGAGGCAGAGAGACACAGTGTATTGTGTGGTTTCATCAATAAATATGAAAGTAGATGAGTGACAACTTCATGAATACTTTCACATACATGTGAGCAAATCATTTACTGAAAACAGTAAATAGGGAGACAAAGTCAAAGCTAATTTGAAAACTCAAACTAAAACTCAATTTGAGAATGTGAACATGCAGGATAGACAGTCTTGTGAAGTTAAGTTTCGGAATTCATGACTTCATTTAACAGCAAGCTTAACATTGCCATAAGCCTTCACCTTGTACTACCTTCTTCAGTTCCCCCGTGTAACTCTGTAGACAACCCGTACCTTAAAGATCAACCACTCCTACTTCCTCCCTTCTTTCCTTGGCAATTACTCCTCACCACACTAAGCCAATCCACAATTCTCAAAAATACAATGGTCATAAAATAGGAAAATATGAATCTGGTCTGCTTTAAGAAAAAATAAATAAATAAAAAGACCAACCAACCAAAAAGAACACCACAAATCCCCCTGCCATCCCGAAACAAACAAAAAACCCTCAACACGACAAGAACAACAACAAACCCACAAGACACAATCTGGGAAAATATCACAAAATTGAAGAAGGTGAATAACACAGACTATTTTACATTTTAGCACCTGCAGGACTACAGCTTTATAGATTTATGCTAAAACAAACTAATTTCACTGAAAGGATAAAATACCTTAGATATGTTTGGCTCAGTCTATGCTATGAATTTTGGTAAACGTCTCTTACCTAAGCAGAATGGCATCATTTTCCGTTAGACTAAACTACTGATCACATCAAAACCAACAAGAAATGGGAAATTTGAGATTGCAGGAGATTAATAATACACAATTCATACACACCATGCAGGTTTTAAGTAGCCCTTTAATGCTAAAAGGTGTGGAGTTATCTGATATGAGATCACACATGGACCTGATTAAAACAAAACAAGGTGGTGTGGAGAGAAGAAAATTCAGTGCACATAATAAAGTGTAACAACGCAGGTGCCTTTCTCTTTTCCTTCTTTCTTCCTAGCCGACGTTCTTGCTCACCTAAGTGAAGGTAACGTACACGGATACGTGCACAAGATCTGTCCCAACAGACGTCAGTCTTCTTCCCACTTTGCCACTGCAGCACTGCGGGAAGTTACAGCCAGCGTTTGACAAGTTTAACATTTTTGCTGTTCATTCACGTGTTCGCATTGGAATTTGTGCGTCTTAAGTTTAGGTAGCACTTTTCAGTATTTCAAAAAAGAAGCGAGTTTTAACACAGATACAAATCCAAAACCGAGTTAACACTTTAACAACTGAACTAATTTAAAATATAACTTAAAACTTCAAATCTGAAAGCTCACCGGTAACACAATTACCTCAAAAATTAAGTAAACATAAGTTTACTTTATTTTTTCGAACACCCGAAAGAGCAAACGCTCCGGACACGCATGCATCCTGCAGATCACCGAGCAAACTGGCAGACAAGCGCGCCACACGCGACAGAAACCGCGCAAAATCACGGCCGCGGGTAGAAAGGGACCAGAAAAGCCACGAAGACCTGCCCGGCATCCCCCATCCACCACTGCCGGGTTTTTAGAACTCCCACTACAACATTCACCACAGACTAACTCGAAAACCGAGTGCTCCCTCTCAGGCACGGCCGCCGACGAGCGGGGCTTGGGACGCCGCGGCTCCGCGGAGGCGGCAACCGCCTTCTCCCCGTCGCTGCCGGCAGACAGAAGAGGAGACGATGGATGACGGAGCACCTGCAGGTGTTCCGAGCTCTGTTTCGCCTGCTCCGAAGTTCTCCCACCGGCGGGAAGGCATCTCGGTTCCCAAAAGCCCCCACTCCCCGCCGCAGCGGGCGAAGCCGCCCCCCCTCAGGCGCTAACGGAACACCGCCGCGGCAGCCCCCGCGCGGCGTGAACCCGGCCCGGGCCACCGTTAACGGCCAGCAGCCCCCTCACGCTCCAGCACAGGAGCTCCGCCGCGCAGCTGCCACCTCCAGCCTGACACGCGCGCCGAAAAGGAGCAGCAGAAAGCTGCGCTCAAGTAATAAACCAGAACCGCCGCCACCCAGCACACACAGCCCCAGCGGCAGAAGAACGCGCTCACTCACCAGCCGAGTGACAGCCACCACACCCCCGCCCGCTGCCCACTGCCCGGCCACAGCAGCCTCCACTCCGCGATCCGCCGCGGGCGTACCGCCGCTGCCACCGCCCGGATAGTCTCAACACCCCGCTTTCCGGACAACGCCTGGTGTGTGGTAACAGCCGCGGACGCTTCCTCTTCGCTTGTGCTTCCGGTGCGGCGGTGGAGCTCACTCGAGAGCTTGGAGGGCTCTGTGGGCTGGGGGGAGGTGAGGTGCTGTACTGTGCCTCGCCACTGTCCTTCCGCTCTCGGTGCGGACGCGCGGGGCAGCGAGCGCGTTTGGGGGGTGGCGGGTCTGCGGGTGTGTGTGCGCGTGGCCTGGCTCGCCCTTTAGGGGTGCGCCGCGTTAGGAGCATTAAAACTCTTCCCAGTAGCTGGGGCAGGCTTAGGGAGGTGGGCGGAGGGCAGCGCTGGCTGGGAGGGGGCGCGCCGGTAGATCCCGCCGCAGGTGAGTGCGGCCTCGGCCTTCGCCGTGTGCAAAGGACGGGGGAGGGGGTGCCCTTCCTCGCCCTGACATGGAGCGGGTCCGGCCCTGCCGGGTGTGCTACCCGTTTCTTCTGGCCCCAGGGCGGAGGCGCAGCGGGGTGAGGGCTTGTCCTTGTCCCTGCCCTTCCTTCCCTAGCGCCATGGGTGCTTTCGGGTTCTCCTCTTTATGGGATTTGGGGGAGCTGGCCAGGTTGAGCCTCCTCGGCCTGGCCAGCCCGCGCTGCCCGGCGGGTCTAGAGAGGGCGGCCTGGGGCGACGCCTGGGCCCGGGCAGCGTAGGCCCGGATGTGTATTATTTTTAGCTCGTCCTCATGCCGGAACGGAGCGATGTCAGGTGGCTGCGGCAAGTGCCAGCGGCGCGGTTGGCCCCTCCTCAGGTGGGGGCGGGGGGGGAGAAAAAGGCGTCGTAGGTCATTCCTGCAAACTTGGCGGCTGCAGAGCCACGCGCTCCGCAGCAGAAAGCGAAACTACCGGGCAGGGACAGCAGGTATTCTGGGCTGTCTTCCTCCTGGTAACAAAACTGTCTGGGGAGACTTAAGTCCCATTAAGTTGCTAACTTAACTGGTGAGTTGGGTTGGTTCATTTTCCATAGATTACACATACTGGGGCGCCGGTGGATGGCTGAAACCTTGGGCTAGGTTTCTGCTGATTCACTTATCGGACTAATTGTTCTCTGGTGTTTGTTTACTTGTTGGGATGTATTTTTATGTTTGAAACTGTGGCTTTATCAAAACTGTTAGTGTTTGATGGAGTGATAGCGTTACTTTCACAGTCCCAAAAAGGAAAAAAACCAAACAGGGATATACTGTTGTAATTATATATGCCAAGAACCAGAACCTGTTTCAGTTAAATGATGTCATAATTGGAATGTAGCTACCCAGTGTAGTTGGGGTGCAGTCCAGGAGGTGATAGGTTCTCATGTGGTACGCAGACCCAAAAGCTGGGTGTTATTAGGATAGACTAAATCACTTCAAAATAAAAGTTCCACATAGCAAAAAAACATGAACTAATTTTAAGTCTGACTTCACAGTAGGCTTGGATTTTAAGTTAATGCTATTCTAAAAATAGATATCGGGTTTATTGCAAGCTTGTGTGATTTTTGAATTAGTCATACAAATTGTTCTTACAATAATAAAATGCATTAGCAGTTATGCTTTGTGAGAGTGAACTCAATTGTAAGTGGCTATTACGTGTGTGGAGATGTTTGGAAAATGCATATTTCTATCGAGATATATTTAAAACTTCAATGATATTTTTCTGATAACATTCTTTTTATTAACTCTTCAGTGAAACTGCTGGGTGTGCTAGTAGAGTATGGGATCAGAGTAGTAGAATACTTTTAAGAAAAAAGTTTCTTGTTACTGATTTTTAAAATGCTGAGGTTGTTATTGCAACAGTTGATCTATATGCCAATTCAAATCAATGAAGCTTCATGCTTCTTGGCATGAAGTCACTTCAGTTTTAAAAAGGAGCATAGTTCTGTATATGAAGGACAAAGACTTTAAGCTTTGTACCATAAAGTTATGCAATGGGAAATAATTGCAAACTATAACTGAAATACAGTGCTGGCAGGTAAGTTACTGTCTGACAAGGAAAAAGCGTGGTGATTTTTAAATGTCTTTTAAGTGACCATTAATAAGGGAAACTTAGTTACCAAGCTGTGTGTAGGGTGTGGACAGAGATAAAACTGCATACTTTGCAACTATTTTTCTTCTGTAAAATTTGCAGCTGCAATTAGTAAATTACCTAAACTCCCTCCTCCCATGCACATTGGCCTTAAAAATAGGGGCCAAGCTCTTTGATTCTGAATTCAGGATAGAATTCACGCTGCTGTTTCCCTTCCCCTGCTCTTTCCTCCTCAACTTAAAATAGTTTCTTCTGGTAACTTGGGTCTCAGATCAGGCTAAAGGTAAAACTTCTTTTTGAATCCTCACTGCAAAAAGAGGAACAAAACTTGCTTGCAGGAAGGATAGCCTTTTCTAGCAGGAATAGAGCTATAGTTTTTGCTAGAAGCCAGCCATTTAAAAAACATTCTGGTAGATGATTGCCTTGGGCCTTGTTCCTCTTAAGTGTTTTTCTAAAAAGGCATATTAATGTGTATGCTCTTAAAGCTTTCGAGATCTAAGGTGGTGCCTGGAGAAGGGAATAGAAACATCAGTGCAAAGGTACATCAGCTGATGACATAACTAAAGATTGAAATCCTGCCAATTGATACCTAATGTGTGTGATATTTTAAAACTCTTAAGAAGTTGTAATCATGAGACTCTGCTCTCTTTAAACACTGCTTCAAAAGATAGTGTTAAACAAACACCTTTCTTTGATGGATAGCTTGCTTGTTTTTACACTGACCGATGAGCACATGTGGCTCTGGGGAAGACTACTGCACTCTAGCCATACTATGCTGGTTATATTCTTACTAAGTAGTTCTGCAGTTCTGCTACTTGATGCAGACCAAAAGTCTGCCAGTAAATGACACAGATTAGAGAAAGCAAATTACCATCTTAAATACTTATAGCAATAGTTTCACGTTTTGGTAAGCATGGTGGTTCTTGCTGTTTACCTTTTTTGGTTTACAGGAAGCTTATCTTAATGTAGGGTTTTTTCCTTATAAAGTTCAGTTGAAAGCAATAAAAGGTCATTGGATGGATATGGGGGAATAGATCTAGAATCCTTCCGAACTAATTCCTCATCTAAAGCATACCAGTTCTCTTGGTGGTTGCTGAATAGCTGGGATAATATTCTAGTGCTGGAGTTTAAGGGGTAGAATGTCAGATTTACAATGACAGTGAGAATAGATTCTTCATGTTAGTACATCTCTTGGAATCCACCTTGATGCGTTTGGTGGTTTAAGACTGAGAAGCCAGGGTTATCTTAACTGGCACCTTAAGCATAGTTTTCTAATTTAGTTGCACTTTAAATTCCCTGTACCTCTTGTACAAGCTCTCCGATGGTTGATTTCATCTGATGTAGCATGAAGCATGGTTCTGATTGCACGTACACAGATTTGAATATATGGGAACATTGTAACAAAGAGATAAACTTGCATGCAGATTAACATTTAGCAGTATCTTCCTATGTTCTGATTTGTAGAATCTCCTTGTCTCACTTGTCTTCCCCCTTACCCCCGACCAATTAACAAGTTTACCAGTGCAATAGCACCTTTTTTGCATCTTATCATTTTGCCAGGATTTTCTGAACAGCGTGATAATGTTTGCTGTTCTAATAGAGCATGTTTTCAAGGAATCTTCTTCCATTTTTTTTGAGAATGTTTAAAAAAAAAAAACAACAACCCAATTGTCAGATGAAACAATAGTAAACTCATTGCAAATGAAGGACACTTTTGAAGTTATAGTGAACTGAAGTTAAGCTTTTAGAAGACAGTGTTGTCATAAACTTTGGCAGCTATGCAGCTGACTGCTTTTGATCACATACCAAAAGAAATACCAAAATCTTCTAGTTGCTGCATGATAATGCATGTTAAACTTTGGCTTTAGTTAGGCCATTCTGAAGGCTAGTGGACTTCTGATAATTGATATAATGTATCTAAATAATAGAATGGAAATTTCGGTTTTCATGGAGATTGGATCCATAATTAGTATTGAGACCTTCTTCAAAGGTATGTGCATGTAGTTTAGTGCGGTTATGTCAAACTCTTTCTGTAATGCAAATAAATGGGTTTGGGATTTGCTTTTTTAATTATTTTTTTTTACCTTGATTTTTTTTTAAGGCTATTATTCCTCCTATTTAACACTAGCAAGGATTGCAGTGGATCCAATTTATATCTGGCTGCAAAGACAAATAGGGTGGCAATGTTAATAGTCACATACTTGCATGACACCATGACACTACCTAGGGTATCTTCTGGAAAATGGGAAGATTTCTGGAATAATGAACAACCAGTGTGATATATTGAATGTATTTTTATATACTGGCATCAAAAGTATTTGATGCTCTTATGTGCTCCTTGTGTGCATGTGTATTTAAATCTACCTGTTCAGTCGCAACACTTGCATTCTTTGTGTTAATATAAATCCAAGGTTTTGTGTTTTTGAAGAGTGTCAGTGTCTGCTAAAGAGGTGATGGTATATAATACTTTTTATATGGGGGGGAGTTAACTTTGTCATGTATTAGTAACAATAGTTTATGGCTCTTCAGGAAAAAATGAGCTCTTCATGGGAGTCCACAGTGTAATAGGTTCTCATCATCATAAAAATCCATCATTTCACTTAGTATTTCCTTTTTGTGGATACTGATAAACCATGAAAACAGAGTAATAGTATCTAATGATTATTTTGTCCTTGTTTGCCCTTCCTCCTATGACAAAAAATCTTTCGGGTAGACTAGAACAATGTTCAATGATCTCAACTATTTAAAAAACTTATTTTGAGATTGCAGTTCTCTAGATTAAAATAAGCAATAAATTAAATCTGTGAATGCAATCATCAGTGGTGTTTATTAATGTGTCTTTGAGTAAGTATATATTTTTACTGAACTTCCAGAAATGCAGAATTAAACAGTAAAACAAACAGCTCTTCTTCCACCCTGCCCCTTACATGCCAGAGTCTTAAGAGCAGAGAATGTGCATGTATAATAAATGGGACAGCTTGTACTTTCAGTTGTGAGTGAAAACTTGTTCAGACAAGTTCCTCCTCCCCCCCACAATGTGAGTAGACCTTGCGTGAATTTATATAAGTCTGAAACACATTCTTGAGAGAGACTCAACCTTTTGAGGAATTATGAATATTCTTTTGTAATCTTCCATGTTCTTGACAGCCATAAAATATCTGCAGGTATCTGATGGAAATTGGAGAGTGCTAATTTTTGCAAATCCACCCATGTGGGCATATTTTATCTCTACAGCCCCTTTTTAAAACCTTGGTAATTGTGTTCTGTGGCTATAGGAATCTGCTCATGTATGTTGTGTTGAAAGGTTGGAACAGTAAGAGAAACAAAAATGAGATTTTGCATTAAATAGTCTTATGTCAGGAGACTTTTTTATAAAAAGCTACCGCTTGTAACTATAGTCATGTTAAATTTAACTTCAGACCATTTTTTAACTGTTGGCTGTTTCTGTTATGTGACCAGTTCTTCACTTGATTTCTCACCTTTGAGTACATTCATGCTGCTTAATCACATGTTCTGATGACACATGCAAGATATTTGTAGTTATCCAAGTTCTTCTCTGTGCTTACTGTGATCAATAACAGATTTTACTTGTATAAGTACTGCTAAACTGGTATATATAACCTGCCTTGGGCAAAAAAGAATACCTATTCTTCTGTTTAAACAACCTGAAGATTTTTAGCCAGTGCAGAGCATAATGAGGAATGTAGCTTGAAGAGACAGTCTTGGCATTTTTTAACTTCTTCGAACTACTGGGAAGTTATATTGATCACTGTGGTAGCTTCTGCTGCTTCTTAGATATGTCACTTTTTTGAGTTCTTACTAAAATATTGATAAGATCAATACCTGAACATATAAATGCCTGATATCTGAAGCTTGTTAGCTAGAAAACCCCCAAACTTATCTAGTCCATTAAAATACTGTAAGAAAATATAATCATAGAATCGTTAGGGTTGGAAAGGACCTTAAGATCATCTAGTTCCAACCCCCCTGCCGTGGGCAGGGACACATCTAACACTAAATCGTATCACCCAAGGCCTCATCCAACCTGGCCTTGAACACTGCCAGGGATGGAGCATTCACAACCTCCCTGGGCAACCCATTCCGATGCCTCACCACCCTAACAGGAAGAATTTCCTTCTTATATCCAACCTAAACTTCCCCTGTTTAAGTTTGAACCCGTTACCCGTTGTCCTGTCACTACAGTCTCTAATGAAGAGTCCCTCTCCAGCATCCCTATAGGCCCCCTGAATAATCTTTATTCCTAGCTTGGACTTCAGGTCTTTAAACTCAATTATGTTATATAAAGCATTTTAAAAGAATCTTATGAATGGAAAATGTAGGCTGTAACAAACATTTCTTATGAACTGTGGGGTGACCCTTTTGCTTTTCCAAATAATATCTGGGCCTGAGCAATGATCGGTCAATGTCGGATATGGTGAGCTGGGCTGGGTGGAGAACTTCTAAAACCTAGGTTCAGTTAGTGGAATAATAATTTTCCATGGAGCTAATACAGCTGTCAGTACAACCTCAGCGGAAACACAACTGAAGACTTTTGCTTGTATAAAACCAAAGTAGTATTCAGAATTTAAATTGGTACAAAGCAGGCACTGATCCCCAGCAGAAGCACAGCTTGTTGCATATGCAAATATATGGAGTGTTTATAGGTAGTTTTCATGTTAATTGTCATAATGTATCTGTATGAGGTTTGGGTTTACAGCATGTAATGCTTTTCAAGCTTTTTCTATATGTGAATTCTTAGGAACCTGATGCTGCTGCTCATGAGTGATGGCATGATTTTTGTAATACATATCAAACCAAATCACTTCTTTCGGGAAAATTAATTCCATAAGAACTTGAAGGTGGCACCTCTTTAAAATATCTGTTCACTTAATAGATTTAAATTAGGGTTTTGAAGTTACATGAAGTAGTCATTCCATATTAACTCATGTCATAAGTAATTCCTAGTTTTGAGGCAGTAACAAACTAATGCTGTTCTGTCCTTTTTCATTTTTAGAACCTGACAGTCATGAGCATTCATAACTTATGTTTGTTTGTTTGTTTTATTTTTCTTGCACAACCTAAGGACAATTTATTTTTCAAGTTCTTCAAGTATTCTGGCACAACGAGGAGAAAGAAGAAACATTTCAGTGAATGAGGAGTTTTTTGCTTCTATAGTGTTTTCCTTGAGAAGTGGGTCTTTGAATGAGGATGACAATGGAAGAGATGAAGAATGAAGCAGAGACCACTTCTATGGTTTCCATGCCTCTCTATGCTGTTATGTACCCTGTCTTTAATGAGGTAAGCTGCACTTAGCTTTAGAATGTAAGAATCCCCTTCACACTGGGAAATGTTATCACAATACTGGGTTGCTCATCTTGATTGGGAAAGCTTTATCTAACACCATCTTCTTTTTGTGCATTGTTTGGCCCTGATCTTTTTTCTTACCTTTTACAGAGGATTGTCACAGAAATGCTAGGTCTGGTTCTGTGGGAGGAAGTAACATGCAGTTGAACATGTACCTGTAAACAGCTTAATACATTTTAATTTTACTGCTAACTTAATAGGATATTTGGATTTTTGTGAGTATCAGAGGTTGTCAAGATGTTCTCAAAAGCTTCTGTCAGACTTCTGCTGTAGACTGGATAAATGCAAAATTCTCCCAGTGGCATGTTTGGTTTTTGGTTTATTTAGGGGGGGGAATTCTATTATTTGGGATTAATTTTATACTCTCTCTCGCTCAAATGAGACCAGTAATTTGAATGCATGTCAGCTCCCTTTTTCATTATGATGTGTAAGGCAAGGCATGAGTACTTGATTTATTTTGTTCTGATAACATTAGAATTGATAATAACTCTAAACTTTTATTGCAGCTAGAAAGAGTAAATCTATCTGCAGCTCAGACACTGAGAGCAGCTTTTATTAAGGTGAGAAGTAACTTATATTGAAGAATGATTGTTTAAAAAGTAAACCACATATGGTGAAGCTACATATTCAGCTGTCTTGTTTCCTTGTGTCTTTGTGTTTGAAGGCTGCATCCTTGATGCAGTAGTCATAGCAATAAAGTGGACAGTTGCATGGACTGTAAGTTTGAGATGTCCACAAATGTTACAAGTAGAAATCTGAATGATACAAACACTGAGCAATTTTAAACAAATAAAAACCTGTCTTCTCCATGTTGTACAAAAACTTAAATGTGGAATTAAAGATAATAAACTTAGTCCAAATGTAAGATTATGTAGAATAGACAGGTGCTTTGAGAAACAGGCAGGTAGCTGACCTTGAAAATGGTTTACAAAGTGATTGGTAATGGGTTTGTTTTTTTTTTTTTTTGGTGGATAAAGATAAATTCAATGTATCAATGTATTTACACCCAGCAGTAAATGGAAAAAAGATTCTTCTAGCTTTTCTGTTATATTCCTAGAGAATAAAACCACAGATATTCCTTTATATTGCTTTATTGAAGTAATGATCTTTTGAAAAATCTTTAAACAAGAATAATTGTAGATGTGACATAACCTTAACATGTGACCTGTGCAGCTAAGTAACGTTTTCCTGTTTCTACACTTAGGTTTAAGTCTACCTAGACAGTCTTTAGTCTCAAGGAGAGCTCATAAAAGTTAAATGCTTTTACAGCAGGTGGTAGGGAGCTATACTGAATGCAAATACTTTAAAAACTAAGATATTGGTAGATATGGTAGCAGTAGCTGAAAAAATCTCACACCCTCATTCAACACAGCAATGCTTTTTGATAGCAGCACAGCTAGTCTAGGTTAGCTTTACTCAGCTGTGTTGTCAGTCAAAAGGCTGGGGATGTTTTTGTTTGGTTGATTAAAAAAAAACAAAAAAGAAATGAAGCAATTCCAAGATGATGTTTGAGCATATGATATGATTCATAAGTGGTACATTTATAAAACATAATGTGGAAGATGGGGGAGTAGCACCTGTGTTTGAATTAATTCCCAGTGGATACAATATCTTTGTCTCAAAGTTTAGTGTTTATGAAAATAAAATAGAATACAGAATTCCATGAAAAACTTCATTACTTGAAATGAGTGGAAAGGCTTATTGGAAAAGTTGTTTATACAAAATCACTGATATAATCAAAGAAAATAGATGTAGTGAAAGAATGGTTTTCAATACAGTTTGCTGGTCTAAAGCCATTAGAAAAGTTTTTAGCAAACTCTTGCAGTATAGGAAGCAAGTTATATGAAAATCTTCCTTTGTGCTTGCAATATTCGCGTATTGCATATTTAAGAATAAAAGTTTTCTTTGCCATATAGGCTGAAAAAGAAAATCCAGGTCTTACACAAGACATCATTATGAAAATCTTGGAGAAAAAAAGTGTGGATGTGAACTTCACAGAGTCTCTTCTGCGTATGGCAGCTGATGATGTAGAAGGTAATATATCTTATGTCGAATTAAGTGTATTTCTAATTACACTATTGATAAGGAACATACATTTCTCCATGCCTATTTTCAGAAGAGGTTATTTGTTCCTTCATGGACTTTATTTCAGCATGGTAGTAGAATATTTGTATTTTCTGAATAATTCCTTTGAAGAAGCTTAATCTCCTAAAAAAAAAATACTTGACTAGTAAGAGAAAGAAGGAAAACAAATACTTGGAACTATATGTATGTGGGTGCATAATTCACCTTTTTCAATATTGACAAACAGGAAAAAACTTACATGGAGTTCAGTATTCACTTTGCTTCATATTAAAAGCAGTAGTTACACTGTCAGAGAAGGTGAATATACAGTAGGCTTTAGTAAGTTACTTTAATGCTACATTTGATTAGTGTCTTCAGTGTCTCAATTAAAATAAGATGGACTCTTTCCAACTTCAATAATAAAGATTATTGTTGCACTGTGTTTCTGCTGATGCAGTGGGTATTCACTGCAGTTTACTGGTCATGGCTCTTTCTGAGCTGTTCACCTTCAAATGTAACTTGGCAATACTTGCTGCATTTTGTGAAGTAGTGTTTCTAGTGTCACTAAATACTTGAGGAAGAATAATAGTCTTTTTAATATGTTCTTTTTAGAGTATATGATTGAAAGACCAGAACCAGAATTCCAAGATCTTAATGAAAAGGCACGAGCACTTAAACAGATTCTTAGTAAGATTCCTGATGAGATCAATGACAGAGTGAGGTTTCTTCAGACAATCAAGTAAGTACCATGTTATGTATTTTTCTGCAGATAGTGGGGTAAAATTTTTCATTTGGGTTTGAATATTCAAATGCCGTAGGAGATGCTAGCAACACTGTTCCCATTGGAAAAGAGCATGATCCTCGCTTATAAAGCGAGGATAAAGAGAGAGTTGAGGATTTTCGATGGGAGATCCACATTACTAGACTGAGTTTCATTTGCTGATTCATAGTTTGAGTTCGTGTTTCACTGGTCTACATCTTTGCATTTGGTCATGCTACATCCTGTCTGACTCTTGTTTTGTAGACTGTTCTAAAAAGTATTTGGCTACTAGGAGATTAAATTCTGACATTTAAATAGGATAGTTTAAGAATATAACTATCTTTTTATTGCCAAATAGAGACATCGCGAGTGCAATAAAGGAACTTCTTGATACAGTAAATAATGTCTTCAAGAAATACCAATACCAGAACCGGCGGGTATGTTCAGTAACTGCTTTTACACAATACTTTTTAATAGTATAAGAGGAAGCATATCCTTTTGATTACAGGATGAATAGGGGAGCTTAAATGGTCAATGGCATAACAATCCTGTTAAAGTATTGTATGATAGGTCCTGGTAGTTTAATAGTAAAAGGATAATTTCTCTGCATGTTTCTATACCTAGCATAATGTAAGCCAATTTTCTTGCCAGTTTAACCTCAAGATTCTCACTGTACTCCACAATATGTGAACTAAGACTGCTCCTCGTGCTTCTGTTTTCTTAGGCACTTGAGCACCAAAAGAAAGAGTTTGTAAAATACTCCAAAAGTTTCAGTGATACTCTGAAAACATATTTTAAAGATGGAAAGTAAGTATGTTTTTGTACTAATGTTTTACATCATTGAAAGCCTTGTTGACTAACTGGAAAATAGGGCAATCTGTGGGGTGTAAGCTGCCTTCTTAAGAACTTGCCTAATTTTTTTTCTCACCTGTGTCCACAGACCATCATGTCTGCTTTAAAAAAACTTTTATTCCTTTTGTAATGCCTTTAAAGAAAGGGGAGTTTGTTAAATGCACCACCATACAACACCCATGTTCAGTATTAGCTTTGAACTTGAGTATATGAAGTTAAATTTCATTGCCTTGTGTGTTTTTTCTGTGCATATATAAGGACAAAAAATTATGTATTGAATTATTGAAAAACTTTTTTTTTAAATACCATTTGTAACAACTAAATATCTGTGGAGTGTTTTCCTTGATTTACATTTGTACTGTCCTTTATAGCTCATTATAGTGCTTCACAGTATTTGGAATTAGCCAATTAATCTTTTCATTTGAACATTTTAGCCTTCAAACTGAGGCTTTTTTCAGGTCTTTCCCCTGGGTTTTGAAGCTGCTGTTTGTGTGTGTTTCACTGTAGTGTCTGTTTAGGATGAGCATTAAACCCCCCCTCCCCCGCCCCCAGATTTTTGCGGTACCAGAGTGTTCTATGTGCTGCTGTTTTCAAGATCGTAGATGCATAGAATGGTTTGGGTGGGACTGACTTTCATGTTCAGTGTTGTTGAGCTTGGCTAAGACCACCCAAGGAATGCTGCATTACTAAAGTAGAGAGAAATCTTGAGACAAGCTGTGAATACTACCTTGCTCCTGTCAAAGCATTATTTTCTTTTTTCTTTTTTTTTTCCTTATTGTTAATGAAATCAGGGCTGAACTTGATTATGATACCAAGGTCTAAATTTCTTTCTGGTAACTTTATGATTACTGAACAGATGTATAAGTAGGTTTACACATGAACTAGATCTAAAGAATCTCAGTTGATTAGAAAACGATTTGACTGAAAAAAATTGAGAAAGGGATGGATGTGTTATGCTTGTACCCCAACCATACTGAGAGAGACCAGTTTTATTTAGCCCTATGTGAACTGAATGCTGTGCTGTGCATTGTAGGCATAAGCTTAAAGTGTTAGGTATTATCAATATTGCAAGAAATCCCCGGTACGGCTTGTGTTTCATATCCTTGTGGAATCAGAAGTAATTTAAATCTGAACTGCGCATTGGAAGTTGCTCTGCTCCCACCAGAAGATATCAGCACTAAATGTCATGCTCACAGATGTCATTACTGAGCTGAAAAAGTGACCCCACACCTCTTTCTTAACAAAAAATATCTAAAAGAGTATGTTGCTTCCATATGCATGCTTGCTTTCTTGAGGAAAGAGTTGCAAATTCTGAAATTACTAGGGGATGAGGTGTTCAGCTTTGAAAGAACAGGTGTTTAACGATCATCTGCTCCACTCTTAGCTAAAACCCCAGAATTAAATGATTGAGATGTCAATGATTGTTGAGAGGAAAAGTCTTTAAGTTCTACCCAATAAACACAGTCTTTCTAAAATTAACAATGCACGTAAGTCTGCCAGCAGTAGGCTTTAGGTAGATCATGATGTGATAAAACATCAATATGCTTCCTATTTGCAGAGCCTAGATGCCAGTGTATGTATTTGCCCAAACTTAATGATGCATTTGACTTGGGGGTGTTGGTCGATGAGAAAATGAACATGAGCCGGCTTCAGTGTGCGCTCGCAGCCCAGAAAGCCAACCGTATCCTGGGCTGCACCAAAAGGAGCGTGATCAGCAGGTCGAAGGAGGTGATCCTGCCCCTCTACTCTGTTCTCATGAGACCTCACCTGGAGTATTGTGTGCAGTTCTGGTGTCCTCAACATTAAAAGGACATGGAACTGTTGTAACAAGCCCAGAGAAGGGCCATGAGGATGATCAGGGGACTGGAGCACCTCCCGTATGAAGATAGGCTGAGAAAGTTGGAGCTGTTCAGCCTGGAGAGGAGAGGGCTGCATGGAGACCTCATAGCAGCCTTCCAGTATCTGAAGGGGGCCTACAGGGATGCTAGGGAAGGACTTTTCATTAGGGACTGTAGTGATAATGGGTAATGGGGTAAAACTTAAGTGGTGGAAGTTTAGATTGGATATGAGGAAGAAGTTCTTTCCTGTTAGGGTGGTGAGGCACTGGAATGGGTTGCTCAAGGAAGTTGTGAATGCTCCATCCCTTGCAGTGTTCAAGACCAGGTAGGACAGAGCCTTGGGTGTTATGGTTTAGTGTGAGGTGTCCGTGCCCATGGCAGGGGGGTTGGAACTAGATGGTCTTAAGGTCCTTTCCTACCCAAACTATTCTGTGATTCTATTCTATTGAATGAGATGTTTATAAAAATGTCTGAAGCAATGTCTTTCTCTTTTAACAGGGCAATAAACGTGTTTGTAAGTGCCAACCGACTAATTCATCAAACCAACTTGATACTCCAGACCTTCAAAACTGTGGCCTGAAAACTGTATATGTTTAGAGTTGTACTTTTAAATGGTGGATAGGGTACCTTTATATGTAAATTTTAAAGTTTTGACTGTATAAATTATCAACCCCTCTTGAGGGGCCTAATGCAGGATTTTGAATGGGATTATTGCCATCTTACACCATATTTTTGTAAAACATTGTAGCTTAATCATAATCTCACAATGAAGATTTTGCATCACTTTTTGCTATTATCGTTCTTTTCAGAATTATAAGCCAAAAGAATTTACGCCTTAATGTGTCATTATGTAACATTCCTTATAAGAATTGTAAATACTTGGTGTTCTGTTTCTGACATTTTAACTTGAAATCAGAAAACTACAGGATTATGTATTTAACAATATTGGTGGCAAATATTCAATAAATAGTTTACATCTGTTAGACTGTTTTTTTGTATGTGAACAAAGATGCATAACTCGTCTTTTTGGAACTGCAGAACAGTCATTAAATGGAAAAATGAAAATTACTCTGGTGCTTAAAGGTATTGGCAGTTCAAATGAGTATAGAATGAGGGATTTTCCTTAAAACTGAGATTTTTGACTTTGACCTAATGCTAGACCGGAATACCAGATTCCATTAATGTCTTTGACAAAATAATAAAATACCCTAGAAGTGATATATGCTTTTTGTTTTGGTAGAAACCAAACCTTGCTTTACTAATTTTCTGTTGGTGATGAGTTAACAGGTTTTACTCCTAGACTATTCAGAGGTTTTGAGCAGAGGATAACTTAAAATATATGCAACAGAGGGTGAATTTATTAAAAATATTATAATTCTGTTTTATATTGGTACCCTTTTGGGAGGAAGGAGAGAAGATAGAACTCTTCCAGGTAGCACTAGCGATGTCTATACTATGCATGCCATAGGGCAACTTCTTTTCAGGGAATGAAATCATCTGAGACCTAGATTGACAAAACTTCCCAGTGTAGATGGTTAAGAACTGCTGATGGGCAGATTAAAATTTTATTATTGTGATTTCATGGTAATATTTCACAAGTTCTAATAAGTTTCTTGCATGCCCCTTTGAAGTGCACATTGAGTTTATTTTGAATAGGATCTTTGTTAGAATAAACTTCTGAAAGCTTTTAAAGTACTTATGTGGCCCTAACTAGTAAGTTTAGGGAAGAATGTGAAGCAGTTCATAAAAGCTGCACAAGCTGTTGCCAGAAGATGACTTCAGACTGAAAGAGCGCGACTGTTACAGAACTATTCCTTGTTTAGGTATAAATGATGAAGAGAAGTTGCACCCAGACTTTTTTCACACACTGGCCTGGTGCTGTATGGGTTGTTTGGGTCAAGTGCCTTATCCAGAGTACAACAGATGGGTCTTTGAATTTGGGTATCTGCTTAAATGATCCAAAAGGGGAAAATGTGATCTGCAGCGCTCTGGGATGGCACTGGTTGGTCTTCTGTATATCTGTGCATGGAAGTGTTTCCTTGATGAAAGCACTGACTGTAGTGAAGTAACTGTGAAGGAGAAAATTATGTAAAAATGAATTCTTGGGAATGTATGTTGTGGATTTCTCAGTTACACAAAGCTGTAAACAGGACGTGGTCCTTAAAGCTTACTGTTGAGGCAGTTTTCTGTGTTGACAGTGTCTTGTGTTTACTAGGAAATTGAGTTTAGTAACGTGACAGAAGGATGCATATACAATTTATGGCTAAAACTTTGTTATTTATTAAAGCTTGTTGTGCTAAACTCATTTGTTGGAAAGTGGTAGAAGAGAAGCAATGTTAGCAGCTACTAAAGAGGTAGTCTGACTACGTTTGAGCAATATTTAGTTTGCATCATTGAATTCTGTAAGTAAAAAGGTTGATATGTCTTACTTGCAGATGATAAGTCATAGCACCCAAGGGCTTCATGAAAACTAATTATTCATGTAGAAGAAAGGGAAAGGCACCTGGAGTTTCTGATATTTCATTTGTCTTGAAAAGAGTGCAGGGAAGACTGCACCAGTGCCTGAAAAGGGAGACATATCTTGGATTATACTTTGTGAGTTGAACTTAATTCCAGTAAAATTTAGAGGTTTTACTATCTTTGTGGTTTGGGAGAGTCAGTATCTAGTGTTGGGAATCACTAGTTGAATGATACTATGTTTATGTCTGCGAGCATAGTAAAAAAATAAATAAATGAAAAAAAGCCCTTTATGAGTTGGGTCCCAAGAAATATGCTGTGTTATGTCCTAGTAATTGATCCTTGAAGTTAAAATCAAAGAGGCTATCAAGAAATGAACTGTTGCTGTTCATCAGTTCTTCCTATAAACCTTTATTGGGCAAAAGGTACTAAGTACAGGGCTAAGCTTCAGGTAGTCTGGCCAGTATGTTTTGTTTTATTTGTAACCTTATTGTGCTTTGTTTTTGTTGCCCTTAAAAGCAATGGAAAATAACTCATTGTAATCAATGTCTGGTAATGGGAAAACTTGAAAACTGATGTCTTCAGGTCGCATTGTTGTGTGCAGTGAATCCATATCTACTGGTCTTACAAACTTAATTTTCCCCTGAGTATGAGCTGGGTATATGTCTGTCAGATTTTATTGTGGTTTTGCACTTTATTCAAGTTACTTGGCTAGCGAAAGATGAGTATCTCTTAAGGATTTCTAATACAGCAGTTAGTGTTGCAAAATGCTATTAGAAAAATTCTGCTGTGAATGTGGATTATAATTGATAAAATAATGTTAACATACAGAAAAGCAATCTAATAAAATAAAACTTTGTATATTTGTTAATGAAGTAAAGAAATGTCTTAATTGCTTGTTTTGATCTTTCTCAGCCTATAAAGAAATGAAGAAAAGTTGGATTTCTGGTTAGAACCTTCTTGTTTTAATCCTGATAAAAAGTTCTGTTTAGAAGTCTGTAAGAAGTGCCAGTTGCCCAGCACAATATAAGCTTTATCTTGAGTTGACATAAAATGGTAAGTATGAAATTTCATGGTGGTGTGGTGTCAGAGCTTCCATTTATGAATGGAAGATGCGACAGTAAGATGAGATATAAGTCTTGATTAAGCATTATCTTTGCATGTGATTGCCACTGAAGTGGTCCTTAATTTTCTTTTCAAATTTTTAGCTGTATGTCAAGTGAAGGTGTGCCTTGTTTATTCTGCAGGTAGTATCTGCTCTCTTTATTTTACAAAAACAGTGTGTATGCTTCTCTGAATTAGGTAGGGAATGAAAAGAAGGTTATCTAGGCAAATTTGCCACAAATACAAGTTTTAGGTTATTCCATTATGAAAGGGAGAGAAATGTAAGTTAATGTGTGCAATACTAATAACTGGATTTGGTACAGCAGTGATTGTCACCTTTGGAGCAGGCAGTGGCTCTTCTTGGCTGCTCTGCCAAGCTCATCTTCCCACAAGAACTACAGTGTGCCTCCTGTAAAAGATACTGCAGGCAGTTTCTGCTGGTGAGGCCTGGGAACTCTTTGAGCTTTGCATACCTGTAGAATCCTTGAACAGTTTGGGTTGGAAGGGACCTTAAAGCTCATCTAGTTCCAACCCCCTGCCATGAGCAGGGACACCTTCCACTATATCAGGTTGCTGAAAGCCCTGTCCAGTCTGGCCTTGAACACTGCCAGGGACTGGGGTATCCACGTCTCTGGGAAACCTGTTTCAGTGCCTCATCACCCTTACAGTAAAGAACTTCCTAATATCTAATCCAAATATCCCCACTTTCAGTTTAAAGCCATTCTCTCATGTCCTAATAATGGTGCATTTACTCACTTTGTCATATTTTACTCCACTGTTTTGGTTTTCTTCAGACTCCTCTAGGCAGATGTCTCTTTCAAAAGAGACTTGGAAATGTGCTTCAGCAGCAGAGCCACTTCCTAGCAGCAAACAGTGCTAAAAATTAGGACTGAAAGATGTTTCTGGGCCATCAAATTTGGTTTTCTGTTGCAGAGGTTAAAATGTACCATATAGTGTTGGTCATAAATCTGTCAAATTCTGTTTTAAAGCCAGCTTTTGTCCTCATTCCTCCTGTCATTTTTAAATGGTCTGAAAGAAAAACAAAACCCTTCAAATATTTAATTTTAATATGCAGTGTAAATGTAATTTATGATGAAAGAATTCACTAACCTTGTCCACAATCAATTGTTCTGTTTCCCTCTTCTTCACTCAGTCGTGGGATGATTTATATACCACCTTGTGCTTTGTTTCTTGAATATGCACAATCCCAAGTTTTTGGTTCTTTCTGAAATGCGCAGAGGTATCAGGCAATGCTAAACTTGCTCCTTCAAGGCTGGGAGAAAACAGTATGCCCTCATACTTGTAACACAAGCTTGAATTTTTGCAGCAGCATTCACAGTTGATTGTGTCTCTGAAGCAGAGGAGGAAGGTTTGCCTCATCTAGAGATTTCTGTGGAGGTGATATCCCTTAGATTCTCTGTCCTTGTCTCCTGCCTCAGCTTGGTTACGATTTTGTTTACATAGTGCTTGACTTCTGGGACAATGCAAAATGCCTCTGACTTGGTATGATGCATGTCAATTGTTTGCTGGATGGCATAGCATCTTTTCCATAACTTGCTGTTTTCCACATAGTCCTCCTTCAGCCCCATCGCACTGTGGGTGCTATAACAGCTCAGGAAGCAGAACCCACATGCTGTGGGGTCTATAACCAGCACCTTGTCATGCCAAGGACTCATGTAATGGGGGGGGAAAAGCTCTTCACTAGGTACCTGCACCAGGGTTGATTCCTGGCTCTTACTGTGTGATTCTCCTCTCTACTTTAGCATATATTGAATGCCATCTTCACAACTATTTTTGCAAAATCTGTGCAAGTACATGACTTTTTTAATGCCCATTGTGTCCTGGGTTCAGCAGTAGCAGTCATTTTTCCCCTTCTTGGTAGCTGGTGCAGTGCAGTGTTTTGACTTTCAGCTCGGGAACAGAGCTGATAACAAGGATGTTTTGGTTTGGCCAAGGACTTTGTGAGCCTCATGCTCTGCCAGGGAGGAGGGGGAGCCAGGAGGAAGCAGAGACAGGACACCTGACCCAAACTGACCAAGGAGGTATTCCATACCACAGCACGTCATGCCCAGGAGGTAACCTGGAGTTAGCCGGAAGGGCTGGGATACTGCAGGGTTGGAGGAGGTATCGGTCAGAGCTTGGTCGGGCTGGGGGGGCGAGTTATCGGTCGGCTGGTGGTGAGATGATGTATTCTCTTCCCTTGTTATTTCCTTTATCATTGTTATCATTGGTGGTAGCAGTAGTGATTTGTGTTATACCTTAGTTACTAAACTGTTCTTATCTCAACCTGTGGGAGTTGCATTCTTTTCGATTCTTCTCTCCGTCCCTCCGAGAGCAGGGGGAGGGCAAGAAAAGGGGGGGAAGTGAGCGAACGAATTACCTGACTGGGTTTAAACCACAACACATTGTAAGGATGAGGGGT